GTGGATTAATATTAAATAAAAAATAAAGTAGAAGAATTGAAATTCCATTTTGATAATGTAGAATTGACCATTTCCTTGTTGAAAAGGGTAAAAAAAAAACGAATTCTAGCCAACTGAAAGGACATTCTAATCAATTTAGAATTCATTTGGATTTCATAAATAATGAGAATTTAAAATGTCACGCAATGATCGATGAAAGATAGATTCAACAAATAAAGTGAGATCATTTCTTTCTTCAAACAAAAGAAACAGAGATATTCCCGGAAGGATTAATCCATTTATAAATGTGGTTTGTACATAATGGATTATCATCTCTCACATAATGCGCAGAGCTCACGTGTATTTAAAAATTTCGATAATGCGGTCCTCACCCCCATTGTGAGTAGTAGGTAAAAAATTAGATAAAAAAAAATTCGATACATGCCATTATGTACAGATAGATTACCCCCTCTCATACAATGGGCGGGGTTGGCGTGTATTTAAAACTTCCTACAACGTGGCCTCCACCCCCATTGTGAGTAGTAGGTAAAAGATTCGGCAAAAAAATTCGATACATATTGCATGATTTCATAAATTTTATATTTCGCCCCTATTTGGTACACATTATTTTTTTCATTGTCATTCTTCTACTCATTTTCAATCACACATTCTTCAATAAAATAATATTTTTCATCACATCAATAACTTTTCCTTCATTTTCAGCCACACATTCTCCATCAATCTACTATTTCATAATACATTCTTTCAAAATAATGTGGCTCAAACACATCCTTCATATATTTTAATTTTTGGAAAGGTTGTTTTCTTAGTTAGACCAAAGCAGCTCAACTAACAGTCTCAAAGAAAGAATATTTCTCTATCCTGGTATCGTATCAACGGTGATTCTCGAAAGATCTGTTGGAACCACCATTGATCTCACGACGAATGAGGCGGAAATTGCAATCGGAAGCTTTGCAGTTCCTTAGATTACAATCTCCAATGGTGATAGAGCTTCGATCCTATCGTCTTCACAGATCTCTTTCGTCGAAACCCTAGTTCCAGTTGCAATGAAATTAACAAGGAACGATTACGAGTATCGGAGATCTCAGATTCTTCCCACTGTTCGAGCGTATGATCGTTTGTGAGGGCTAGATGGAGAAGAATCCGATAGCTAAGACTGAGGTAATCACAAACTCAAATCAATCCTGAATCTTTGGTTTGGATGCAACAGATAATGAGTTGGTTACTTGCTTCCATTTCGGAATCTATGTTTGGTCATGTTGTACGGTGTAGATATTTTTTTTTTTTTTTGGGTAAAATCATATTCAATACATATTATGTTATTGTTCTTTTACATATCTACTTGTTCACATTATTCTTCATAATGAAATTGGAAATTATTTCAAAACCATACTGGGTTTTTACTTTTTCATGCTACAATTCAACTGCTCGATTAATTAATCTGAACCAGCTGACGCTGCGGGCGCACAGCAAGCGTAAGCTCCAAGCTCGGATCCAATTCGCCATTTTCATTGAGAGGTATCGGAAAATTGTACGAACCAGAGTTTGTAAGCATTCTGTAAGTCTTTTCTGGTCCTGTAAAATGAGAGGATATTGATTTTTTCTATGAGGAAAAGCAGTCATATGATGATTCGTTGCGGATAGCTGATCCATTTCTCCTTACCTAGTAGAAAGAAAATAGACACGATAACATGCAAGATTTATAGAGATTCACCTCAACGTGAGAATAAAATCATATTTATAAGAGAAAATCGTACACCTTATCTTCTCTAACTTGTCTTTGGTGATACGAAAATCTAATGACGACTACCAATTTATAAAACAAATTAGGACACAATCAAAAGTGTAAACAATTAGGCATTAATCATTCTCCACAACTTAATAATTTAATCAAAATGAACTTTATAAAGTTACAAGAAAAGTTGATTAAATACTTGATTGGATAAAATTATAAGTTATAATAATTATAATGTGATAAAAATGAGTGGGGATAAGTGAATATTTGCTGTGAGTTTTACTGAATGTATGATTAAAATTAAATGCTAACTTTGACCATTAAATTATAAGAATTACTCTCTATGTCCCAATTATATAGGCTTGTTTCGTTTTTTACAAAAATTAAGATAGTTTCTTTAATGTCATAGGAAAAATATTTTTGCCAAAATCTTTCCTAATTTNGGTAAAATCATATTCAATACATATTATGTTATTGTTCTTTTACATATCTACTTGTTCACATTATTCTTCATAATGAAATTGGAAATTATTTCAAAACCATACTGGGTTTTTACTTTTTCATGCTACAATTCAACTGCTCGATTAATTAATCTGAACCAGCTGACGCTGCGGGCGCACAGCAAGCGTAAGCTCCAAGCTCGGATCCAATTCGCCATTTTCATTGAGAGGTATCGGAAAATTGTACGAACCAGAGTTTGTAAGCATTCTGTAAGTCTTTTCTGGTCCTGTAAAATGAGAGGATTTTGATTTTTTCTTTGTGGAAAAGCAGTCATATGATGATTCGTTGCGGATAGCTGATCCATTTCTCCTTACCTGGTAGAAAGAAAATAGACACGATAACATGCAAGATTTATAGAGATTCACCTCAACGTGAGAATAAAATCATATTTATAAGAGAAAATCGTACACCTTATCTTCTCTAACTTGTCTTTGGTGATACGAAAATCTAATGACGACTACCAATTTATAAAACAAATTAGGACACAATCAAAAGTGTAAACAATTAGGCATTAATCATTCTCCACAACTTAATAATTTAATCAAAATGAACTTTATAAAGTTACAAGAAAAGTTGATTAAATACTTGATTGGATAAAATTATAAGTTATAATAATTATAATGTGATAAAAATGAGTGGGGATAAGTGAATATTTGCTGTGAGTTTTACTGAATGTATGATTAAAATTAAATGCTAACTTTGACCATTAAATTATAAGAATTACTCTCTATGTCCCAATTATATAGGCTTGTTTCGTTTTTTACAAAAATTAAGATAGTTTCTTTAATGTCATAGGAAAAATATTTTTGCCAAAATCTTTCCTAATTTACCCCTATTTAACTTTCAGTATGTATAACTAAATTATTGTTGGAACTAATAAAGAATTTGATGAAGAGGAAAAAATGAGAGTTGTTCCATATTTCTAAGAAGTGGGAAATGTGTGTATTTGGCTGATTTCAAGAAGTTGACATATTAAGTGAGAAAAATTTAATTGGAAATGTGTGTATTTGGATAATTTTAAGAAGTTGGCATATTAAGTGGGGACAATTTAATAAGAGTATATTGGTAAAGGAATACAACAAAATATTTTACATTAGGAAACATGCCTATATATTTGAGATAAAAGAAAAAAGAAATTCAGCCTATATAATTGGGACGGATGGAGTATAATGTTTCCAAACATTCATTAAATCAGTTATGCTTTATAGTACTAAACGATAGCTTGGTGAAGACAAATGTAAGTAAAATGAGAAGGTTAAGACGGAGTTATACTAATCGGAGGTGCGAAAAAGGGTTCATGTAGAAACCCTAATTTTTACATAGCAAGACTTTATTGTTATTCACTACTAGAAAATGCGGTTTCAACGATAAAGTTTACCGATAGTCAATTTTCTTCGAAATTTTAAATTTATAACATTGTAATGTACCTATTAATTTTTAGCATGGTCCAGTTCCTCTGATGGCCTACGCTTCTTCTCGTCGGTGTTATGTTGCCGGAGAAAATACTTTTGTGCATGACTGGCTACTTGTATTGGAGTCCTTGTGGTTACAAAATCCCTAGAGATTCCTCTCCAGTTGCCTTTGCCGAGCTTCTGCAACCCGAGAAGAAATTTCAGGTGCTCCTCTTCCGTCCAGGACACACCTGAGGTGGGTTCGACAAAGTGTTATATACTTTTATGAGCATGAAAATCGAAAGTGTACGATTATTCGAAAGGTACACTTCTAATGAAATCCAACAGGCATCAAATTATAATTTATTTATTTTATTTAGAATTAGGTTTCCAAGAATCATCACACGACCAAATTTATGATTTATTCAACCACTGATAAGTGAACCAAATAAAAAAATTAGAATCAATTTTTGGTGGAGATTGAAAATCCCATTTTATATATTTACACATTTATAAACATTATACCCTTGTATTTGATCGTAAAGAGTACGACGTAGAGCACGAGTAGAAATGATTAATTCACGTCGAGGCAAGGATCTAGAGTTCACTAATCAATAAATTCAAGAAACTCCCCGAGAAATTAAATGAATTAATATTATCTGCTCGAGTTCCATCGTGGACTATTCACTAACAAACAATATCGAAGAAAAAATACGAATTACCTTTCTTGCCTCGATTTCTTCCCATGAGTCCATCAGAGAGATAACCCTTGGAGATTCTATCAGAAATCTCATCTGCAAAAATGGATGATGAAAATAGAGTCGAAGACACCGGAGCAGCCGAGAGGCAGTCCAAGCTAAAGCTCTTCCTAAACCTTATATCTGAAGATGACACATCAAGTTGCACCCCAAATAGCTTTACAATTCTACTGCTATCTTTGCTTATACATCTACTATAGCATGTCCTTGAATTGTGACCTATCTTCCCACAGCAAGAACATTTTCTTCCCATTCTTGAGGGGGGTGTGTGTGTGTGAGAGAGAGAGAGAAAGAGAGAGATTCTTGATTTTAAATATTTTGTTGTTTGTTTGTTTATATAATGGTGGGCTAACAGTGTTTATGGTTGGTTACTTATGAACTAAGGCAAACTCAAGGAAAAAGATATGAGATCTCTCTCCGATATTATTATATATATGTAAAACGTGCATGAATCGATGTTTTTAAGGTTTTTTTTAATTCAAAGTAGCAGGTTTAGAGCACAGTTTAGTTGGATGGATTAAAGTCCCATTCAAGTTAGACGAGTCGATTATTTTTTCTACTTATTTTTCTTGATTCTCATGTTGTGATTGAACGCACAATAGTGATGCAATTATTGCTAGGTAGAGAGTCATATCATATGATCATCTACTAATAATGGGATTATTTGCCAGCTATTTTGATAAAAATTTTAGCAGATTTTGATCAAACTGATGAAATGTGTGATTGAAATATTTTGAATTCCATTAAATTTATGGTTAAAATTAAAGTTTGACAAGTTAAAAATGTGATAACGATATCAATTGTAGCCCCCGTTTGGTGCACATTTTTGGCAAAAAATGCATTTTTACTGTTAATGTGATGGAGAATATGTGGTTGAAAATGAATGAAAAATTATTGATATGATGTAAAATATTATTTTATTGAAGAATGTGTAGTTAAAAATGAGTACATGAATGAGAATGAAAAAATTAATGTGGCTCAAACAGGGTCGTAGTATTATTTTGAAAAGTACGTCCTTTCCAGTATGATAGGTTTTGTAGGATGAATCAAGAGAATACTACAATCTAGTTTAAAATTAGTAATTACGTACCTCGTTAACTCTAAGAAGATATCTGACATGAATTTAACCGTGGAAGTATATATGTTCTTCTCGAGTGTGACACGGTTGTGAAGAATGAACTAAAAGAATACTATGATTCAATTTCAAAAAATTGTCTAATCGACACGACAAAGAAAAAACAAAGACTTCCATTATGAAATTAATTGGCAAAGTTTGTTAGCAATTTTGGGCACAGGACTAGATGGTTGTTACATTTTAGGAGAAGATAGGACAAAATACGCTAATAATTTAGGAAATAAGGTTTGGGGAATATATAACTTAGAGATTAGGATAATATTCTCTCACTCAAATTTCAATGTTGATGTTGATATACCAACACTAATTTTTGACTTATTGGTTGAAATTTTGCAGAAAATGTCAATTGCTTGCTAGACTACTTTAATAGTTGCTTATACAATTTGGTGTTTATAACACTATATATGAAAACATGACAACTTGCAAAAATCTTTTATCAGTACTAAAGTTTGGTTTATCAATGATTAATGTACCATGTTATTTCAACATGAAAATAGTAGCACAAGCTTCAACTATTTAACGCATAAATTAAGGGCAAGAGTTAAATAGTTTTGATTTTAGTTGGTTGAGAAAGGTTTCGTGGGAAGAGATATGTCTATTCATTTTTCAGGACTCGATTAGCCCGTCTTGATATGATTGAGCGAGAAAGCTTTAGCTAGAAGAGATTGGTAAATTCATTTTTAAGGCACGAATTAGATCGTCTTCATTTGATTGGTTAAGAAAGGTTTATCGAGAAGAGATGTCAATTCATCGGTTTTGCTCCAACCCCATTATTAAGTGCATGTCTGGTCGAGCTTAACTTTTTTAAGCTAATCAAATAACTTTTCATTTACCCATTTCGTATGATCTACAATTTACTATCCATTTATTATTACAAATTTTGTAATACCATATTTTATAAAGGGATAATTGCAGCAACGATCTCAAACCTATCACTTTTTTGTATACTTTACCTTAACTTTCACTTTGTGTCACCTACAGTCTCAAACCTTTTAAAAATTATCATTTGGAGTCCAAATTGATGATTTATGTTAGTTAACCCAATAAATTGACTTTGACAAATTTTAAAAAGGGTAAAATAGTAATTTTGAATTAAAATTTAACAAAAAAACTAAATAACAAAGAAAAAAAATCACTGTTCATCCCCACCCCACCTCTTTCTAAACCACTATTCGTCTTCCCCACCCCACCCTTAAACCAATCCTTATCTCCCTAACCTAATCCAACCACTAAATCAAACCCAAATCAACTCGTCCAATGTCCTGAGAACACTTGAACTCTCGTTCAAAGAAGAAACCAACCATTTCCTAGCAGCCGTCGAAAAATGGGGTCGACTGTTAACGATTTTTTGCTGTAGTCTACGGTTAAGTGAAACACTTTTCCATCTGCAGGACAATTGCCACTCACCACTAATTCCTTGCTGAAGTTTGCGAATGCCAAAGTACGCACGGACCCGTCAAATTTACCGATCACAAGATGCCACAAAGTGCCCCTTGTGCCCGAAGCGAAAGTTTCACCAAGTCCCGGTGCCGAGTCTACTATGAAATTCTCAATGAGTTCATTTGGTGGTTGGATTAGGTTAGAGGGATAAGGATTAGTTTAATGGTGATATGGTGGGGTGGGGAAGATGAACAGTTCTATATTCCTTTTTTTAATTTTTTTTTTCGCTTTAATTATTTTATGTGGAATAATGACGAATTTACCATTTTGCCCTCTTTAGATTTGGTCAAAAGACAATTTTTTTTGGTCAACTAACTGTTAGGAATATTGGGTCTAACTCCACCTAATAAAACCGGCTAAATCTTAATACTAACTTCCAATCCATCCATTTGGACCTTAGGTGCTAATTTTTAAAAGGTTTGGGATTGTGGGTGGCACAAAATGAAGATTAAGGTAAAGTCTGCAAAAAAGTGATAGGTTTGGGACCGCTGCTGCAATTTTTCCTTTTATAAACACTTAAAATCACTAAAATTAGTATAACCAATAAGATCCAAGTAGGATAAGAGAGGACTAGTTTGGCTAAGTTTAAAATTTATTTGTAAGTAATTTTACTCATTTAACTTATAAGTAAGTACAGTCTTAACGTGTGAACTGTACTTAAAAAGTAATTTTATGTTTGAAAATTGATCTCTTGTATAGTTAAGTAAAATATCACATGACCGTGAAAGATATGTGACGATTTTATGTAATGATTTACTATAATAAAATTTTTCATATAAATTTATTGAAGTATTTCAATTTATTCGAATATAAATACTTTATCAATTAAGATATTATTCAAAATATTATTGTTGGAATAATTTCATGAAATAAACTTGTAGAATACATTATATTGAAATAAATCATTATTATTTTCATCGACAGTTTGAAATATTTAATTTTAGAGAGAGAGAGAGAGAGAAAAAAAAAGAGTTCAGATACCATTTTGGCTATTGAAATTTAAATTTAGTAAAAATATAGTAATTTTATATACCGGTGTAAATTAATTAAGCATCTTAGCCATGGACAATTTGGTATTTTTCTTTTCTAAAATCTATTTAATTTCTCTTTGCATTTCTATATCGTCAACCTACACTAGCTAATAATCTATTTAGTATTGTTACACGTTAACCATCTCGTCTAAATGTTTAAACTCTTAGGATCGAACATTCATTTAAATTCTGTCTTTGATACTACTACTTTCTACTTCACTAACCGATTAATAACAAATAAATCATCTAGTACTAGATCAGATAAAGAATGTGATAAACATCATATATAAGTCTGTATCATTTCTTAAAAAAACAAAAACAAAAAACACGAGATACCATCGAAGACTATGGTATAGTGCAAAACTGAGTCAGTTTTCACATTGCTAAGGTAAACAAGTGAAGCATACAAAGTAAATAGAAATGTCAAAATAATATGTTTGAAAAATTAGCTGCCGATTTCGTTTAAAACATACGAAAAGTGTTATTTTTGAAATTTTGGTAAAATTCCATTGTTTAGACTTTAGAGGGTTAGACGAGCAATTGTCTACTTTCTAAGCAAAGGAGATGAATGGAATTCAACCATCCCCCAACATCGGCTCGAATTCAGTTCATCATCCTAGTAAAACTTCATTCTCACCACTTGAGTTAGGTCTTAACCATTTAAATTTTTTTAGTTCAAACTATAGAAAGTAGGATTTGATATATGGCGACTAGGTTTTTATACTTTTGGCAAGCTTGGATTGATCATTGTTTGAAAGTTTTTCAATTTTATTATCAATATCTTGGTATTTGTTTGTGATGATGGAAATAACAACTGCTTGTCGACCAGACGGTTCATATGACGACATGATAGGTCTTAGTTGCTTGATCAAGTGAAATCTGGTTCCTCGACACGTGTATTTCTTCTTATCCATATCAACTCGTGAGATATCTATCCTTGATGTTTTTCTCCATTACAACCAACATCTCTTGATTGGTCCACGTACTACACTTGTACACCCTCATTTTTAGATTGATGCTTGATACTAAGAAGGGGGGACGCGTGCCAACCCTCGCCATCTAAGATCGTGGACACTAGACAAGCCATCCACCACAACTACTACTATAAATAGAGCCCCTCCCCTCCCCTCAGGTTTTGGGCCACTGAAGCCGTTGTCTACAAAGGAAGAAAACTTGTACTACTATCAGTTTAGCTCAACAAGTATTTGTATTATATGTTTTCAGTTGCATTCTATCTGCTGTGAAAAGCGGGGACAATATCGGATTAATCCAATACCACTTTGTTGGAGAAAATAATAGATTAAATCACAATATAAAGTAAAAATCACAAGAAAACAAGAACAATGTAACTTGTAGAGAATGGAAATTTTACTATAATATGGAGAAAAAATATATAGATTATGTGTTTACAATAGGGAAAAAATAGAGACATTCAGGTCTAATAGTAGAGTTGTAGTTGAAATAAAATGCCAAAAATGGAGCCCAAAACGAAATAAGGAAACAAAGAACGTTGAGGCGTCACAGCGCCACTCTCCGGGCGTCACATGACGCCCTTATTCTTCTTTACGCCACATCGCCCCATTTCTGTCCAAATATCTTCCAAAAGGTGTTTTTCTTCGTTCCAAAGTCTTCTTGAAGTCCAACACA